GATGATGACGATGATGACGATGACAGCAAAGAACATGATGAACACCACAGATTACAAGAGCTTAAGATCAGAGTGTACAATCACACTGTGGAGTTCAAGAAGAATCGGAAACTGATCGTATGTATTAACACATTAACTTCTTAGCATTTTACTGTGGAACAGTGTGATGCTACCTACACACAGACATTTGTAAAGTCAGTCTGGGAAATAACTAGCTCCTCTTCACATTTTCTTTTCAAGGTGTTACAACTGTAGCGAGGGAGATGATGTTATATGTGCTAAATTATGCTGTGTGATAGCGCTTTTCTTTTCACTTTAACATTTGTAGGTATAAGACAGAGGAAGAGAGACAATGTGTAAAAAAACAGTAATGGCAATATTCCATGTTTATCCGGTGCCTAGATGTTATTGTGTCTGTGTGTGAGTAATATAATCCTATGAATCTCAATTTGCAAGGGTACTGAACTAAAACTAAGCAAGTATAAGACTGTAAGTGTTATAATGTACTTTGCTTGTGATTGTATCACACTAGCATGCTAACATTAGCTATTACGTACTGAAAGCTAATAGAATCTCAATAACTTGTACGTATTTGGTAATATAGGAAAGACTTCAGCTAATACTCAAGCTTTCCACAACAAAAATGTATGTTTCACTTCATACAACAAACATAATCATACAGGAATGAACAGCAGAATTGACATCTACATATACTTCAGTTATATTAAATTGCACTGAGAGATTTTTTTTTCCTCTTCAGGTGGATGGAAAACCAACGGAAATGCCCATCTCAGTGACTGGTGGTCTAAAGATCTGGAAGCGTTCCTCTCATATCTACCTACAAACTGATTTTGGCTTGTCAGTGGCGTTTAATGGACACCATTCAGCAGGTAGCCAGTTTACAATATCAAAAGCAGATGATGTAATTTCTTTAATGTGTCATTCCACTTTAAGCTAATAAATAATTTATCGTTTCCCATATTCATACAATGTATTAAACGCTCATATTTATTCTGCAGAGATTACTCTACCACACATTTATAGAAGGAAGGTGGGAGGCCTGTGTGGAAACTTTGATGCTCAGAGAAAAAATGACAGGATGAAGCCAGATGGTACCATAGCCAGAAGCACTCAAGAATTTGGAGAGAGCTGGAGAGTGTGAATGCCAGATGAAACACTGTCTTTGAATGTGGATGAGTTTAATCTCTATCAGTTACATAAAACTCCATATGGATAAAAAAGAACAGATGAGTGTAATGATTTTGGCTTTTCTTCGTTAGCCAGCAAGTGTTGTCTTTACCTAGCTTTTTAGGGCTATGTTTTCTGAATATCAGCATATCTATTTTTTCATGAATGTTTAGATACTTATCTTTTTCTTATTATTTCTACATATATTTGATATAATCTTTGTACTCTACATGTAAATCGAGCTATTATTCTCATTGGATAATATAAAAAAATTAAAAAGTATGTGGTGAATGATCACATTTTCATAAGGTGTTTTTGACTTCCTGCATTGTTGAAGGTTTCTGATGAACTTACTACTCTAATAAAACTGCACTGTAAGGACATTTGTCTTGCTTTGTGTGCAGCCATTTTGTCCCAAGTTTAGCTACAGCAGCATACACGTGTACATTTTTAAGGTACAACCCATTAACCACCTGCAGTACAGCAGGAACACCAACGCAAATGAAGGAAAAACAAATAACACAAAAGCTGTAACATGATACAGATAAGGAAGGTAATCGTTTTTTTTCTAGCAAACAATAGGATTGTTCTTGCTTGAAAAGCTCGTCTGTATCTGTATAAGGGCATGTTTATGTGGAATCCTTATTCTCAAGTATTGCAACACCACATAGAGCCATGGATGTGTTTGTTCTGTGCATTTTTCTTTTCTTAAGGTTTCTCTGTGATGGTAAGTGAAGCTATGCCTACTGGCTACTATTTAACAGTTTCAAAAAGTTATGGAACAATTATTTCATACTACAAAATGTATTTGAGACATTATATATACTTTCAAACTGCTGTTTTAACAAGAGTAGATCCTACTTTTAGATCCTTTAGATTTTTTTAATTAGTTGATGTGTTTTCAGGTGGATCCTCTTTAATGTCACTGATAGTTTGAGTTCATATCCCCTGGATATATAGGTGAATGCATTTTCAATAATTCTGGTATTGTTGGATTTCACTTAAGTAGCTAACAAAAACAGCGACTATTCTAACTAGTAAAGATTAGACTGAGTTTGTAAGCATTAACACTACTAGTTTTACGTTTTGGAGCTTGAGGCTGCTATTAGTGACAGATGATGATATTTACTTCCCTGTGCTGAGCCTCCTTTAGCTGGTTCTAGTGCTCGAATACATATCTCAGGAATGGACTGAGTAGATCTGAATTTATAAATATCTATCATGGTGCTTAAGCTGATGCTGATGAAAGGCCATTATGCTACAGTCTGGCAATGTACAGATGCAGAAGAACCTTCAAACTGGCAGGAAAGTAATATCATTACTATGTATTTAAGTCCTCGTGCTTTTGGTACCTGTTGGGCAAGAAAAAGTAAGCCATAACTGTATGTTAAGAATATGTATTTAAAATTTAACATGTTTCTTTAATATAAATATGTTTTTATATTGTTGCCATTATCTTTACATTTTTCTAGCCCAAATACCAGCTCCAACTACTAAACCAACAGGTAATACCCACAACAATCTTTGTACAATTAGCCATTGTGTTCAGTGCGACAGACGCTGCCTATATCTAAACCCCACAATAATGAACTTGATTTTTGTCACCTACTGAAGCTACAAGTACACTCACAAGCCACTTTGTTAGGCACACCTGGTAGACATGGCAAAAGCTCAAAGAAAGCAAGAAGACATGGAGACACGGTGACAATGCTCAAACCAAGTATCAGAATAGGGAAGAAAGGAGATTTAAGTGACTTTGAATGTGACATTGTTGTTGGTGCAGACAGACTGTCTGAGTATTTTAAGAATCTGCTGATCTATTGGAATTTCCTATACAAACATCTCTACGTTTACAGGGAATATTCCAGGATAAAAGAAAATACCCAATGAAAATATCCAGTCAAACTGTTCAAGGGATTTTTGCTCAGTTCTCTGGGTGAAAATACCGTGTTGATGTCCAACGTGAAATGAGAATGGCCAGACTGCATTGAGCTAATGCTAAGGCAACAGCAACTCAAATAAAACATTCATTAGAGCCAAGGTGTGAAAAACACCATCTCTGAATGCACAAAAATATGTTGGTTACAGAAGTGGAAGACCACACCAAGTGCTGTTCCTCTCAGCTAAAAACAGAAAACTGGCTCTATGATTCAGAGGCTCACCAAAATTAGACAGAAGATTAGATATCTGGTCCCATTTCTACTGTGACATTTAGACATAAGCAAAATGAAAGCATGATTCCATCTGGCCTTGTATGAACTGATCAGGCTGCTGCACAGGCTACCTGAGTATGACCATATCTTGGTGGCTGCTTCCAGCAGGATAACATTCCATGTCCCAAAGCTCACATCAACTGGTTTCTTGAACGTGACAATCAGTTTATTATACTCAAATAGCCTCCACAGTCACCACCTGTCAATCTAATGTGGAACTAATGAAGTGTTTTCACTGCTCTCATTCCATTTAGTGATTCTTGCTTACTCCTGAACCCTAACAGCCTTGTTGCCTGTCCACAAAACATTTCAGAGATTCCTCAATCTGACAACACACAAACAACCAGATTTATTACAGTTGCATTTATTCTGTATTTAATATTATTCATCTTTTTGATTACCGTTTGTGAGATCATTACTTTATATTTTTTATACATTACTAGTATATTTTGAAATAGCATGTTGCAATTACAGTTACAAATATGTGCCATGCTGATCATGCAGTTTTATGCCAGAAGCTGTGGTGTGTGTGCTGTTTCCAGACTGTGCAGGTCCACCAGTGCTATGCTGCCCTGGACAAAACTCCAGTTGTTTCAGGGGGTGTTACTGTGATAAGATATGTCTGACATTTGGTGACTGCTGCCATGACTACAGGTCAACCTGTACAGAATGTAAGTGAGAGTGAACGTGCAAAATAGCAAGGTCTGCATTCACACATGTAAGAATTTGAGGATTCAGGGTTAAATATTTATAATGCAACTCTTTCTTCTCTGCTACAGTTGTGACCCAAGTACCAACAAGAAAACAAGCCACTGGAAACAACAATATAATATATACAGATACAAACATCACCACACCAGTGCTCAATGCAGCATCCGCACTTAATGTGAGCACAGCCTCAGTATCCACAGTGCCAATATCTACAGCAACCAACCAGACAAGAAGTGATACATCTACACTAGCAATTAAGAAAACATCTTCAGTCGTCTCCACTGCAACAGCGGGCACCACCGCTACGCTAGCAGATATCGAAACAACTTCAGTCTTTGATTCTACACCAACCAGCCAAAAAAGCAGCACTACTGCATCTATTCCTTTAGATGATCTCATAACATCAGTCTCCACTGTTGCAGGTTGGTCATTGTTTGAATGACCCTACAGTATATCATGACAGAAATTTTCATAACCATTGGTAGGACAAGCACAGGTGGAATTATTAACAGCAGTATATCAGCCTGTGTAATAGATCATCATTCAGAAAACAAGAAACATACTTTCCTACTATGGAATCCCAAATTGTCTCCAATTAAAGATATTTTAAAAGTTGGGTAGTTGTAGCATTTCTTTTTTTCTCTTTTCTTTCTATTTTTTGTTGCTGTGAATCCATTAAAAAGAAAAAACTGCCTATACTAGAAATTTCTAGTATAGCTAGTGGAAAAAACAGGAACTTTTCTGTCATTTAATTCTTTATCTTTTACATAATTACTTTGATTTAATAAGGGAGGTATTTATGACAATTCCACAATTTTGTTGTACATGTACAATGACAATAAAGACCTATTCTATTCTATCAGTAGGAAATGTTGTAAAACATATGAAAATACAGGTAAAAGTCCACAATTTAAGTCCTCCCTCACGTTTTCCAAGGGCATCCAGTGGGTTGGATTGGAATCCTTGCCAGGCCAATTCTGGCCCCCAGGCTTTATGTTTGACACACCTGCTATATATCATTAGATAGAGTCTTTTAAGAATACAGACTGTTAGACAGCTGTGCAAATCTGGATAACAGGGGTGTTGTATCTTTCCCAGGAAGTGGAAACACTGCTGGCATTTCCAACAAAAACACGGATTCCACTGACACAAGCTCAGACAAAGGTACAGTCAATGAAATGTCCATATATCTATTTTAACATTTATATACATCAAAGATCTGCAGTACTTAAATAAGTGTATTTTTATTTGTATCTTGCTTTAAGATTTCCAAGCAGTGACTTTTCATCTAAAAGCTTCACTTTCATCCTCTGATATGGATAACAAAGATGTGATCTTAGAGGCTATATCCAGTGTAAGGAAAAACAATTTCTGAATACAAATCATACAGCATCAGATGCGGCGGGCCTTTATAATCACTGATAATCTCCTCTCTCACAGTTCCTGTCCAACATCCTTCTCCAGTTGAACTGTGAGCGCTGTGTCCTCAAGGTTCAACACGTCAAGCCCACCTGAGAAATAGCATTTGCAGCAGTTACTGCAGGCAGGATATGGCACCAGCTATACTCTGCCAATAAACTGCAAAATTCTCAACAACTAATAAATTTTTTGAAATTACATAAGATACAAGATATATATCAGAGGCTTGAAAGTCGATGCTTC